AATAAATTAATAAAATTGAATTTGATATTCAATTTGAGCTATATCATTAAAATAAAATAGATTGTTAGCATGCACATTCTTTTTATTAAAACTTGGATAAACTTTCAAATTATGATCTAAAATATGTCCAGCATCTTGGTCATGCAGGATGAACATATTCACAATGCTAATAAGCGAATATGCATCAATAAGTTTATAGCTCAAAATTTTCAACAGAATGAACTGAATTTTGATATTAAATTTTCATGTTACAAAAGGTCCTGCTCACATAATCTTATATAATAATATTACATACAAAAATTTTAACACATCTAAGGTACCCAACAAAATTTCCATAAAACTTAAATGATTAATAAAGACTAAGTTTTTTGTATCTGTATTAATTTTGTTTCTTTTTAAAATGAAAGTTTTTATTATTTATCCTCTTTTGTTAATTCTTTCAATATTAGAATGGAAATAGTTTAACTTCTGTGGCTTTGTAACATTCATTAAATCTTTATTAATTTTCAATAATTTCAGGTTCACTATTTTAAGAACATTTGATATTAAGAGTCTGTCTATATTTCTGAGATGAGGTATTATGTACAGTATTTACATTAGTCGGACTATTGTCCTCATCTTTGTCGCCCTATTTGTCACAATGTTTCGGCCGTTGTACGCTCCGGCCTTCTTCAGGTGGTTGATTTGATATTAACTTGCAAATGTTTTCATATCATTAAGAAAAAAATTGGATATTCCAAGCAATAAGGTCTTTAAACAAGCAAAAAGCTGTGACACAGTGATTCCTAATTTGCAACATGCACCAAAACCAAAAAATTCAAATTAGGTTTTGTAATCACCTGCTCAGTTGCTAGAAATAAGCAACAAAATTAAACATTATAAATTTGAACTTTTCAATGACCTTATAACTGGTTGAAAAACAACTGACATGTATAATAGGGCTATTCAGATAGAAAGACAGGAGTCATTTGACTCTAAACACCAAAAGAGCCTGACAAAAGTAGTATATTGCAGACAGTGGTTTACATAATCAAACTGGGTTTAAACATTCAACAACAAATGTCCTTAACCCTTTGTGGGCAAAGTGCATATTTAGACATATTTTAATGAAAATTAAAAGCAGTAAAGATTGAAAAGAATTTATTTCATGAAGTTGTCCTCATAGGACAAAATAAATCATTCGCTTCAAGAAAATTACAAATTATGCTCTTTATAAAAAAAGATAAATAAAATCACTGCATATTTTTCTTTCAATTTAAATAACATGTGTCAGTGATAAAAGCAATTCCAGGATTTAAAAATGAAAATTGATTGCTATATTTCAGTTTTACTCAATATTGCCTGAATTCTACATACACCTCACTTCTGCTGTTTTGAACATAGCATTTCTGCTGTTTTCCAACCTTGTTTGGATCACATGTCATTTTGGAGTTAACCAAACTTAGCTTTGAATCTTATTCCTTTTACACTTTCACCAATATCAATAATTTGCAATTCAAACATTCATTACTTGACCACTTAGAACTAACAGATGAAATCTTACAAGAAAGTTGGTTTTCTTTCTTCAGAAAAGAAAATAAAACAATAAGTATACATTTCCACCAATCTTGAGTGGTTAAATATTTATTGCTTAAAAACAATTATTGGATGTGGCATATACTTGAAGAAACCTGGAAAATGTACTAGAAGAAACAAGTCTAAAGACAAGATACTATTCCAAATAAAAAAAAATATGATGACTTACAATTTACATAACATTAAGGAATTGTTTAGATCACTGAATAAAGTGTGTAATTTGACTACAAATTGACTCAATCTACACTAAGCTTAGATTCATGGAACACTAGAGATTTTAAACTTGCTTCTAATTTACATAATCTTGGTAACGCAGACATCAGTTCTTAGCAATTCTTTCTGCTTTGATGACTGAATAAAATAAGAAAATATGCCACTATTTTGAAAAGGCCTCTATTGTTATCTCTGCTTGATCATAGCAACAAATACACACCTTTAATAGTTATCCCATCAGGTGGAATACATTATAGCAACTACAAATAGTCCATGCTTTTTTTTTTTTTTTTGAGAAACTTTTACAAGGTGTTCAACATTTTTGCCTTGTTTAGTGTAACTGAATTTATCCATGAAGCCTATGCTTTTTAAAGATGGTGAAAAGGTTAACAGAGATAATCAGTTACATATTATATGCAAAATAAGCACAGTTTTTAGATGATGCATTTTGAAAAGAAAAACTGAAAACTAACATGCCTTCTCAGCTATTAAATGCATAGAATTTTCAGTTTTAAAATAGGTGAAAATATAGATTTTTCTTTAAGAGAATTTTCACCATTATAGAAAAATTTGTAATGCAATAACTACAAATATGACATTAATAGAAGTGTTACCATAGATCTGATAAAGTAAAAAATTTACTCTTTCAATAGTATCTCAGTGTGTCACAGTTTGTCATCAGTTAAAAACCACAGTGCAAGTTTTTGAACCAAGTTTTCAGCTACTGTAGAGATTCTTAGGCAAATCATAATTCAGACTAACAGAATTACCTAGGTACGTGTGAGTATATAGGGAAATTTCCTGTCAATTTTAATATAGTTTAATTTAACAGTTCAGGTTTTTAGGATTTTATTTTTTCCCTTTTGTTTTAAAAACTAAACCACTAGACTAACACATTATTTAATTATATTGATGAAGACTTGTGTAGAAGCAGTCATACTTTTTGAAAGAACTACTAAGAGAAATGGTACACAATGTGCCATAAAGTCTCTAAATGGCCAGTCTCAAGTTTGATTCAGAGTATTCCTACTAGACTGGTTTCTAACTATAGCTAGAGAGTTCTGTTTACTTTGCTATTTAACCCATAGTTGGGGGAAGGAAAATGATTCATAACTTTCCCAAAGGTATTTTTGTGAAAGTGAATAATAGACTTGGCTGGAATTCAAACTTGGTTCATTGATTTCTTAGTCAAGCTAACCATTACACTACCCACACATTCAGGGGTAGGAGGGGTGTATTTATGTTTGTGCGTATATATCTCTCTATCTCACATGCACAACAATGATTCCCCTTCATTAGCAGCTGCAACCTAAATGCAATTTTTAGTTATGATGAAAATTAACTTGGAAAGATAAGATTGTGGGATAAGAGATTTTCAGAGAAAAGCTTTTTTTTCTTTTTATTGACAACAATATAGCTAATAACTCATAGTTGATACATGAGGGTGATAGACATGGCCACCATTGAGAGGTAGGAAGACATCACAAATGATCACTCACACTGGAGATGTGATTTACACAGAGTGCTCAAACAAGGAAAAACGAAGACTTGCCACCAGGGAGAAGAGTACTCAATGAAAATAAAACAACATCAGGGAAGAGCGTCTTCACATGCATTCATTGCAATAAAGATTGTCACTCTCGTGTATGCCAGTACAGCCATAACAGATGCTGTATCACCACCAGCAGCTGAGGTATAACTCTTTGGCTGCAGATTCAAGGTTTCTTGAGACTGATAGATGCCAAACACACAATGGATAATAGCCATTTATTCATGAGATACATGTTAAGAATTCTTTCCAGAACAGATTTATTGTAATTATATCTTTTATACTTCTGGGACCAAATATCCTGTATCTCCCAAATTTCAACTCAATTCTTCTAATAGTTTTAAATGATCTTAAACATAATCAAAGCATTCCCTATAAAAGTCAACTAAAGAGTATATTAATCTGTAATAGGAAAGCTATTTCCATCCTTCTCTTTCCTATATTTTTGGTCACAGAATTTCCACTTATGGCATTGGCTATCATACGATAAAACCTCTAAATAAACCAGTTTGAAACTATTGCTCACAAAAGCAGAACATTCTTTCATTGTAAGCTTTATTCATTGAAATATTATTCATCCAAATCAACATTTTCTGCATTTATCTACTTTATGATTTTATTCTTCTACTAACGTGCAAAACCAGCTTAACTACTTCAGTTCATTGAATTACTACTTTACTTTGCAACGGTCATAATTTTTATTATTATTTAGGATTGTTGACGTCATTGCAAAAGCTTTCAAGTAGTTGATGTTGAACAACATCAGTTATCTCCCTTACATTTGTTTTTTTTTTTTTTTTTTTTTTTTTTTTTTTTTTTTTTTATTATAAGTATATCTCAGTAGATCAATTACGACTGAGTAGTGAGCTCGATCTTCTCTGGGTGTCCCGTACTTGCGGTCTTGTGCCACATTTAATCTACGCTTAGTAAATCAACATTTGTTCAGTTTATAATACATTCTACTCAAGTCTTAGCTGATCATATGCTAAAATCTGTTAATGTTGCAATTTCAGAAATACCAACTTTTTCTAGAGACCCAAATAAAAGTTATAGATGTTTTTTGTTTTTTTTAAAGTTCTAAGTCGAGTAAATATGCTTAAAATGTTCTCTAAGAAAATGATAAATAAACTATTTAAGCTCATTAGTGTGCACTTAATCTTACCTTAAGACAAAATTAATTAGGATATTATTACTTATAATTTTCATCCCATTTATATCTGAGGAAAAATGCATTTCTAAAACTAAATGTTTAACTGGAAGTCAAAATGATTTTAAAAAGAATTCCTTTGATACTGCCTTTTGTTTTTTAAAGTTCACAAAAGATCTTCCAGATTTTTGTGGAACTATATCAACTAATTCAAAATTAATAGTCTTTATTTTTTTTGTCTTTTTCTTCAAAACATTGAAATTCCCATCACTTGTTTCTTTCACAGAATCTGGGAAAATTAGTGAGAAGATATTTTTTAAATCTCACCAAGTCCCATTAATTTTTTTATTACAATTTGAAATAACATTTCATATTGTATCCAAACATTTTCTTCTGTAAATAAAATAAGCTTTACTAGTAGAAAATAAGAATTAAGATTTAATTAAACTGAACTTAAAAATAAAATAAAAAGATAAAAGTTTTCTTTTTTCAGAAAAGGCAACAGAAAAAACTCACCGTTCTGCTTAAATTTCATTTGATCATTGGACTCAGCCAGGTTGGCTGTGGGTAGGCCATGGCCCAATCTAAGGTCCAACGTTTGGTTGTTATCAGTATTGTTAGACTGGGAAGCATGCAGTGCCGGCTGGATGTCAGTCTGTACTGACTGGGCTGGTGCTCTAGAACTAAAGGAGCTATTAGAAGCACTGAGGGCCTCTTTTGGGAGGGGCGTGTTGGACTTGTTTAAGCTCATAAGTGAATTTCCTGCAGTGGTCTTGTTCATATCTGAGGGGGGTCTCTCTACACCTAAAAATTGAAAGGAAATAGATAAATACCAATGAAAAATTGGTTGGGGAGGGATTGGAGATTTGAGTAGAATAAAAAAAAAAAAAAAAAAAAAAAAACAACTTTAAAAAATAGTTTTAAGTGCTTTCATAACAAACCTCATTAAAAAAATGTTTTAAAAAGTATCCCATTGTGAACATTTCATTGAAGTATTTTGACATTAATAGTCTGAACAAAAAAAAAGAAATTCATTTTATCAAGAGCATAAAATTCATACCTTCTATAATTTTGAAAGAGTCATTATCATTCCAAGAGTGGTTCAGGTTATAAAACTCATTCTTTTGTTGTGAACAGCCTTCTTCATAGGTACAATCTATAAGTAGCGGAATCCTATTTCCAGAAAATAAGATCAAATATTGGATCACTCCATTTCCAGCAACCTATGTGACACTAACTTGTTACACGAGTTGTGACACATTTTAAATAAGAGTATTTCCCAAAATTTGAGCAAATAAAATGACCAAACAGTTTTTATCTTCTTTATTTTTTTAAGATTCCTTTATTTGAGTAAAGAACTTTTCATCATTCAGTGTGTGTGTGTGTGTGTGTGTGTGTGTGTGTGTGTGTGTGTGTGTGTATGTTAGTAAATTGAAAATGAACATAAAAAGAAAAGATATTCAAAAGAAAAAATATCTTTATATTTTCAAAGATTAGTACACAAACAGATTTTACTCAATAGAAGCTCCCACAGCTTTGAGGGTGATCATGGAAACAAATTCCTACCTGGGACAGGTGACTGAATTAGGTTCACCTTTACATGCAGGATGGCAGCCTTCAATGAATTTTGGTAGAACCAATGGTTGGTCGCCAATTCCAGAAGAGCCCCATATATGACCTAGCAGATTTAATTCAAGAGAGCTTGGAATGATAAGCATGAAAAGTGTTAGCTATCCACTCCTGGTCCATGTGGGAAGAAGTCTTCCTCAAACATGTGTGGTATCCCCCCCTAGTCTAGCACCTAGTAGTCAGTGACATTAACTCTGGGTCTCTGTGGAAAGGAGTAGGATGGCATAGCCCTCATTGTTCACAGTACCCACCTCAAAACAATCTCAAACATGAACTTTGTTTGCAGCTGAACAAATCTGAACATGACAATAGATGTTTTCAATTCTTGATCACCACTTTAATAGTGTTCTCTTGTAACAAAAGAACAAGATGACAAAACTTATAATGGAAAAAATAAAAGGGTAAATGGAAACTCCAAAACAGAAAAAATAAATCCTGGTAATGATCTGTAAATCTGGAATGAAGCCTAAATAAAAGAAAAGAATCATTACTGGAATGTGAATAAAAGTGGAAAGAAGCAATGAACATTAGACTAATATAGCCAAATAGGTAGGTGTAGATTTTGTAAAGAATAAGAAATTACCCACGTTGCCCAGACATTTACTGACTTGTTGATCCTATCAGTATACTTGCTGAAAAGGACTAGAATAGATTGACATAAATATTGGTGCTAAGAAAGCAATAACAAGAAAGAGTTCAATTGTCTAAACAACTCTTGGAAGTAAAAGACTGAATTCATTCAATCTTGATGATGACTTTCATAGAATATTCTTGTGTGTAGCAAACAAAAGGAAACAAACATTTGGTTCTATCAAAACATTGCTTTCACTTCTATTGTAAGAAACAAAAATGTTTCTAAAAATTATTTCATTTTTATTATCAATCATTAATATTTTTGGTACAACCTCAAGAAGACTAAGTATTAAAAAAAAAAAAAAAAAGTTATTCAGTTGTATTTGTAATAAAAAAAAATCTTAGACATCAGAAAACTGGGTATTTACAAGCAATCAAACATTTCCATGCTTCATTATCTCAATGTGCACAAAACATAAGCAAACCGAGGTAGATCACTCAAGATAATCTTTTATACAGAGAATCGCTTTTAAACTCTTATAGATTTATACAGGAATATGTTTAATTGATAAAATATTTTCTCATCTCAGACAATTGCCAAAACCGAGCAGTGGCTGAAGTAGAACTGATAACTACAGCTGCTATTTCAGCTCCATTGCTACTATTCCACACAAACTGCAAAATTACTATTCTATTATTCCATGCTAACTCTGTATGATATATTTAGAAATTTTCTATATTTAGAATTTTTGACTAGTATTTCTTTCATGTTAAATTTAGTATTAGCAACTATTCAGAGTTTCTTTAGTAAACAGCATGATTAATAGATGAAATTCATTTTTCCATAACTATTCTACCACACGAAATACAAAACCCTTACAGCTGAGAGAAGATTAAATCTAAGCTTCTTAAACTTATATTCATCCCCAACCCCATCGCTTTTTACCATATTTGCTATTGCTTTTATATACACTAGTGGTAATATTTTAAAATTCTTATGAGATGAACAATATTGTATGTAAATATAATCCTTTATTTATTAGAACATAAATCAACTAAAATTATGAAACATTAATAATGATTGATAAGATTTAAAAAAGGTAATAATAATGCAGGTGTACATAAGAAATATAAGACTGATCATTCAGGGGAAAACAACTAGTAAATTTAGAAAGCTTACATTTGATTTTCCTGACAGCTATTGAGCGGTCATATTCTAAGCAGTAAAGCAGCTATTATGAGAAAAAAAATGACCTTCCAAGGAAGGCAGAAAACAAAAACAAAAAAAAACTTGATAATTCCACACTGTTTACTAATCAGAATTAAATAATTGGAATGATAAGCAAGTGAAATTAGGATAGTAATCAATATTGTTGACAATGCAGTCTCTATAATATTTTTCAAATTCAAGAGAATATTACTACCAGGTCAATTAGAATAGATAAATTCTACTTGTTTAAGACTAACTAATTGTGACCAAGCAAAAAAAAAACAAAAAAACCAAAAAAAAAACCTGAAATTAAATATTATTCAGACACTGCTGCAATTAAATTAGTTAACTGCATTTGGAAATATTTTTGTTCAAAAGAAACTATAGCTTCCAATTGTAGACTTAAATCTCAAAATTAAATTTAAATTAGTGCAGTTGTCAAGTGTTTGAGACAAAAAAATCTTTTTGAAATCAAGTTACAAATCCCAAATTAGCATTAGTTAAAGCAAATCTACATTTAATTCCAATGTTAAAGCAGCATGCTTTTTTGATTTAGGCTTCTTTTCAACAATAAGGGAAAAGCCAAATATTAAAAACAAAGAAATACAAGCAGCAGCACTAGAAATAATTAAAAGCAACAAAAAAAAAAAAAAAATTAAGCAAAAAAAATAAATAAATAATTCAAAGAATGTGCATATACAAATATTTCAAATACAGGTATTGCCTTTGACAAAAGATTATATATAATCAACACACCAAATAATATTATTCAACAAATTATTTAGATTAGTAACTTCATCCTTGTTTTCATCATAACATTTGCAACTGATGCATTTTAAAGGACTGAAGGTGTCAGCTTTATCTAGGCAAGTGTCTAGAATGAAAGGAGAAACAATTCAGACAGATGTAATCCAGGAGTCAGTCTGGAAAAGCTCCAACCATGTAAATGGAAAAGCATAATCACAAGATCAATTTTTGACTTACTGCAAAGTTTACAAAATAGAGTTATCACACAATTCTAGAATAATCTGTAAAAGAAACTTTCAACTGGATGAACTACACATTTGAAAACTAGAGAATGCATCCGTCAGAATGTTAAAAACTTTTAGGTTGAATTTTCCTTCCTTTCCTGTCACAAGCCAAATTCTGGGAGGAGGCTGAGGAGTAATAAAACAGAGAATATTTTGCAGTTTCATGGAAAATGTCTTAAATTAGTAAAAGGAAAGTTTTTCTTTGGACAATTTTATAAAGATCCAGATTTCCTTTAGAGAAACTTCTGAAGACCGTTACCTCTAGAGAAATAAAGAATGAAACTGATGAGAATGTATCAACAAGGTTCTCAATCTATTTTCTGAAAGGTAAAACTTAAGTTCTGAATCAGTAGGTATGGGTGGAAAAAGCCATTTAGCCATATAGATTGGGCTGTGAACATTTTAGCACCCCTCATATATATTCATACATTTATTTATTTATTTTAGACCAATTTCTGTCCTTCCACATAGAACTTCCTGTTACCTATACAAACTATATAAGAGGTTTTAGCTGATAAGTATAGACAAGTGTCATCTGTCACCTCACAAATTCTACTCTACAATGTGAATCATGCCACTAATGGCTTTTCCATATTATATGAAAACTCCCTACAAGGATTTTTTTTAACTGAAAAGTTGAAAACAACCTAAAATATTCAACTTGTTCTCAAGGAACCTCAAAATAAGCTACCTTTTTTATTCTCAAGTCAATGATTGTTATATAAACATTTTTGATGTTTTAGCAGTAATTCTATAATAAATGTTCATTTGTTTTATAACCATAATAAGAAAAATATTGATTTTCCTACAAAACAATTAAAATCTGCAAACAAATTAAGACAATGCTAAATATTTGTGTCCACAAACTCATTGTGGAGAGAAGGATTGCAAAAGGCAAGTTAAAAAAATAAAATAAAATAAAAAACATGTCTTATCACTTTCACAAGAGTGCTGTATTGTTTCTACAAAATGTTTTTATTGAATAAAATTAGTGTACAAATATTTAAAACGTTATTTTTTTTTAATCTAAAAAAAAAAAAAATGTAATAGCAAAAACTGATCAATAAAAATGGCACAATTCAGGTTTTAAAATATTTCTTTCATTTTAAATGTCAAACCTTATATTATCCACAATTCCTCGAATTGATGACCTTCCTAGAGATACAAATATTTTTAACAAATTTCTTAATAGCAGAAATAAATATGTAATCTCTTGAAATTCACTAAAAAAAAAAAAAAAAAAAAAAAAAAGAGAAGAGAGAGAGAAATGAATGAAAATTAGTAAAGCCATTTATTGTTTATAAAGTAGGAATATTTAAAGAGCAAAGCCCTCCTCCACTCCTTGCAGAAGTGCAATAAAATACAGGCAATAAATATATTTATGACAACTAGAAATATGACTAAACTCTAGTTTTGATATTAATGTGATTAAGAGAAGAAATATATTTTTAACTATTGATCAGTCATGATATCATGAGGTGGGGGGAAATTACAATGAAAGTTATAAAATTTTTTGTTTTTTTTATTTATTGAGCAACACTGTCAGATTCAATGAAGTTAGATAAACGAAAATACAGAATTAAAATAAGTGAACTTAAAAAGTCCAATAATAAAGTTCTGTTCTCATTCTATCTTTAAGGTTAAAAATTAGTCAGCTTTTAGTAAAACTGAAAAATTGTTAATTTGATCATCCTAATCAACTTTTTCTCTCAGCTCTTCCAAAATTTATATAAGATTCTTGCTAAAGAAAACAACAGTTACAAGGAATAGATATTCAGTCAGACCAACTGAAAAAAAATTTATGTAATATTTTGTTCCTTTTTATGCAAATACACTTTTATATAAAGTTTTCAAAGCATACTTAAAAATGAAAGCTGTACAATCAAGAATAGAAAACTACAGGAAACTTTGATATGTAACCTGTCTACAATATCCCACAATACAATTAAGAAACATGGAACCAAATATAACTGTTAGATCAGGTGAGAGAAGTGGGGAGAAATATCACTCTCTGGAATAAGTTTATAGTAGTAAACAAAGCCACTGAAAGAAAGATAAAGCACAATAAAAAAAAAAGTTGGTAGAACCTCCAAACTAAAACTAAAGAGGCCACAAAATGAGCAATGAAATTATATAAACCACAGATCTGAATAGAGAGAAGACCAAAAACTTGTTTTGCACCCAACAAAAATTCACTTCAAGATTGCTTGGTCAACCAGCAGAAAAAAATATAAAAAGCAAGATAATAAAAAGAAGTTTGCTAGATAAAATTTGAACATTTTTATATCTAAATATTATTCTTTGAGAAATTGATGTTTTTCAAAAATCAAAAATTAATAAACCTCATATCACTATAAAACATTTGCTCAATTTATCATAAATTCACTCAACACAGTTTATTGAATCATTTTCCAACAGTTCACCTGTCTATAACAACACTTCTAAGCTATTTATAACAATGCCATCTCAAATCACACTTAAGACATGTTTAAGTACTTTTTGAGAAATCATAAATACAAAGTGGGCCAGAAACTTTAGAACACTTAGAATATCTTGATAACCTTATAGTCAAGTGTAAAATATATAAAATATTTAAATTAAAGTTTAATCCCAGTTCTACTTTTGTGTATAATGTATTACTAACATGCTGATTACTTTTTAAACAACTAGTTACAGTTAGAGAGAAGTAAATTTATTTGTAGTTCTGAAGACTAATGTTGTCACTTTTTTTTCAACCGTTACATTTCAGCATGCCATGATGGTTAACAGGGAAAGAGAAATAGTGAATAAGTAACCACTTGACCAAATTACTCCCCCATAATTATCTGACCTGATGAAGCAGTAGTAAAAGTAAAAAATGTTATCTCCATTATTACCCTTGAAAGGTGTCAATCATAAAAGCAACTATTTTGTTTTCAAACTAAATAGATTAAATACTTTTGAATCAAGTATTTTAGGCAAGTGCATCTTCATATGTAAGTGGAACAGTATCAGGATTTTAGCAATGAAGTCCAACTACCAAGAGCCCAATGTTGTCATGTAAAATTTCAAAATTCTTTCTATTGCATAGAATTTATTCTAAATAGATTTCATGGTGGGTGGAGAGGTACCAAAAAAAAAAAAAAACAAAAAAAAAAAAAAAAAAAAAAAACAGATGCTCAAAAAACAGAATGATAAGATCCAGTATCTTTCCCTTGTTCACTTCATCAAAAGATTAAAAATATTCTTTACTAGAGGTAGTAAGATAGCATTAGAGTTGTTAGCAAACTTGTCTTAAAGGATGATTCAAGAGTGTAGGGAGTTTGTTTCTTGATGGTTGCTCCAATATTGTCGCATCATGCCAGATGAAGTTAAACTCAGAAAATAATTTCAGGAAAATAATTTCTATCATTGAATAATTAGCAAACTAGCCTGATAACCCACTTTTAGTAAGAGTTCAGTCCTCACTGGATACTTTGTTAACATGACCTTGTACCAGAATAGAGTAAGCTGATTCAATATCTATACCTCTATCAAACCTTATAAGTTGCAATCAATCTTGTATTATACACATGCACAAAATGGATTCTTTTTCAATTGGATAGACTGTGTGTTAAAAAAAAAATTGTAAAGCTAAGTCAGTAGAATTTACTTTGACACACCATTCCCTGCCCCAAATTGCACGCTAAAACAACAAGTGATGAAAATCTTTTCTTAAAATACATATCTACAAGAACAAATTTTAAAGACAATTCTGTAAGTTAACAAACAAAAACTGCATTTTTTAATTACTTGATCTCATAAGAGATCTTTACATACTCGAGTCTGTAGGAGAAAAAAGGCCAGGAGAAACATTAATGGCATTAAAAGAGGCAACAGCTGAATTTGTTTTTAAGTTATGAAAAACTTTTAAAGCTAAATGTAAAAACAATTTTAAATCATTTTCTCAGTGTCATGAGGATTTTTATTTATGAAATTTAAAAATTAAAATAGGTGAAAGATTTTGGTTCAATTTGACAATTGATAACATATTGTGAAAAAAATAAAATAAAACATTTGAAATAATTGAAGTGAGAATACAGAAAGATACCATATCAGCCAACATTAAACAAAGCTAAAAGATAAAATGAATTGAAAAGAAAAGACATAAGATTGGAAAAAAATTAATATAATGCATGCTGTGGGTCTAATGAAAATAAAGCAACATTTCTTTCATTATTTAAATTAAAATTTAACATTAATTCTTCAGGATAAAAAAATCAGAATTCATTTGTAGTCCTGTAAAAGTAGATAAAAAGCATAATTAAAAAAATATATTTATATATGTATAAACAAAATGAAAATTTGAATAAAAGCTTTTTTTTTTTTTTTTTTTTTTTTTTTTTTACTCTGGGTATTTTAATTTATATTTTTACATTAATATTATACCTTAGGAATATTAATACTTCTTTAATATTAAAAAATAAATTAAAAACTTCTGACTAAAAACTAAAGCCAATTTTTATGTTAAAAATATTTTAACTAATAAAGTTAAAATATTTTATTCCAGGTTATCACATTTTGTACCTTTTTTTTTTTTTTTTTTAATATATTTATTTATTTGTGAATAAAATTATATATTAAATATTTTTTAAATATTAACTGAAAATGTAAAAATATACTCATTAAATAAAATAAAAGGAGAGTTGTCAGTGAAAACAAGTAAAAATGAAAAAACAAACCTGGCAGTCATTACTTACGGTTTAGAACAGAATCACTTTGAATAGCAGGCTGTTCAGCAGCATTAGCAACCACAGAATCTGCACCTTTTTCTGCTGCAACTGGGTTTGTTGGCTGATTAGCTGCATCATTTACTACTTGACCAGCATTCTCGAAACCAGGATTGGCGGCAAAATCTGGTGGATGTGGTACATCTTGATTCTCTGGGGGAGGATTATTAACCACAGCATTTTCTGATTGCATACTATTGACTTTGACAGCACTCTCACCATTAACAGCAAGGGCATTTGTCTCAACTACAGTTCCAACAGCTGGATTCACTGCCGGGGGATTTGCCTGCTGTACTTGACCTTGAGGTACATTATTGTCCTGAGCACTTTGAACCATAACCACTGGAGCCTGACCTTGGAGATGTGGGAGAGGAAAGTTATTTTGGACTTGAGCTGCCTGTGGTTGAACCTGAAGGGACTGTTCTTGAGGCAACTGGTTGGCCTGACCATTTGCAACATTGACCAGATTAACCTGTCCTTGAGGTAAAGCTTTTCCATTGCCCTGTGGATTTTGCTGATCAATCATTGACCTTGTTAGGAAAAGAAAAATAATTATTCTTGTAGATCTAAATCATTGGTATTTGAACTTACAAAACAAATGTACTATACAAATAAAACAATGAAATTTCATTAAGAGGACTTGTGAAAATTTTAAAATGCTTGTTTATATAGATGCATTAACCTGCTGAATTTGTCATACTGGGTTACTAATATAATGCTCCAGCATTATAATCACTGAAAACAATTACACAGCCTAACATTTAAGTATGGCAAGACTGTTCATAAAAGTAATTTTGTAGAAGCCAGTCACTGCAGATTTTGTTACAGCAGTTCTGAAACAGTAAAATTTAACCAAAATGTTCAAGGATAGTGTATCAGTATCAGAGATTCAACAGGTTAAAAAATAAAACAATTCATTAATTACATTGATTACTCCCTCCTCCTGAACCTAGCTAGGATTCTTTTAACTTTTAGTGGGAAAATGTCACTGCCTCATCCAAGGTTCCTATATACAACCTAACATAAGTCATGGATTCCTCACCTATGAATTATTTAGAATCACTATTTGATTGCTTGCAGAGTAAGAAAATGGAGAACAAAGAAATTTTTAGTAAAATATCAGCTGCTCTCAAATGAATAAAATTCATTTGCAGTTTTTAAATCCTATTAAAAAAAAAAAAAAAAAAAAAAAAAATCTTTTCTCCATTGCTATTTAATTATCAAATTTTTTAATTCAGCCCTTCCCCAACTGACCAGAACTGTTTAATTTAACATGCAGGTTTCAATTATATATATATATATCTGTAGTTCACTGCTACTAACAGGAATTTTTTTTTCTCTTGATGCTGGCCAAAACTAGTCAAGGAACCTAATTGAAATAATAAAACAAAAAATATTAATATACAACCCAGTGTGTCTGAATTTTTAATTTTTCAATAAATTTTATTGTTTAAAAAAAAACAATATATATATACCACAACCCATCCTATTTGGCCATGGAAATTGAAATATATTTCATAGTTGCCATGACTTTATTTCAATGGGGGTTTGATGAAAAGTAATCTTGTTCTGTCCATAAAAAATGTCAAATTTAACATTTGAAGAATCCCTTGCAAGTTAGAAAGACTTGTGCCATGTCGTGTGTAAATGTTTAACTTTATTATTTTTTATTTTTCTGTTGGTTTTGTTTCCAATGTTTTTCAGCTATCCTTCCTTCTATGTCATTATTTTTTCCTCCATTGCTATTTAATTATCAAATTTTTTAATTCAGCCTCTACCCGCAACTTGTTTAATTCAGACTATGCTTACCCACTGTTACTTATCAGTGTTGAAAAATTAAGAGTGGATTAAGTTTTACCATCCCAATTTTTTTAGTTGGTAGTAGATATCAAAACTTATGCTAAGCCATTACTTAATATAAATTCTTTTGTATCTTAAGTTTTGTTTTATTTTAATTTTTCTTTACAGGTAGTAGATAGGCTAACCTATCATCTGGCCCACACTTCATCAATGTCTATTGAACAGAAGTAGAGCTTTATCCCTTGTTCAGGATATGGTTTACCAGTTCTTTCTTTCTTTCTCCTACCAGTGACGCCACAATAATTTAACTGTCTTAACTTTTTGGCTGTGACTTTCCATTATGAGGGTACTAGGTTGGTAGTTTGCTGGTTGTTAGGAGCCTGAACTCTTTGGGTTGCATAATATCAGGGTATCTTGTAGTGCTATGTCATGCATGGGTAGGTGTCCCTGCATATATTTCTGGTAGGCAACCCTGAGGCCACATTATGATCTGTTCTCAGCCTTGCCCTGGCTGGTTTGCATTGCCATTGACAACAGATGGTGACAGTTATTATAGTGGTCTTTATTCTCTATCCTTAAAATAAATCTCATGGAAAACAAAAAGAAATACAACAAAACCAGTAAACAAAAAACCTACCTCCCCTCCTCAACCTTTCTTTCTCCAATATTTGGGGGTATCTGTTCCAACTTATGCAGCTTAGAATCTTTTCTCTCAGAATGGTCACCAGATATATATGCCCTCTGTGAAACCAATTTAAATTTTTCCATTATTACCAATGAATTCTTAGTTCCAGGCTATCTTCTCCTCTGCCAAAAGAGATTCCAGCATTCACATGTATGCTCTTGGTGTCTACATCCGGGATAATCTTCCAGTGGCCATGACTATAATCTTGAGGCCCATGACTATTCTTTCATGTGCTCCCATTTTTTTTTTTTAACTGTTAGCTATCCCATTTTCCTTTATCACTCCCCCTCCTCCCATCATTATCTACTGTCTTCTAAATTACTCTTTTCTCTTTCCACTCATTATTAAGGTTTCTTTTCCTAATTCCTCTACACCCTTTTTTCAATGAAGGAGGTAACTGATAAAACAGAAGCATAGCAGTACCAATTAATAGTAAATACTGTAATCAGATATATTTCAATTTAAAAAAAAAAAAAAAAAAAAAAAAAAAAGACTATTTATTTACCTTCAAAGATCAATGCTTTAAAAATAAATTTAGCTCTTCCTTAATAACCTAATCAAAATTTGTTTTCAAATATTGACTTACAAATAATTGTGGGTGCAATATGATATATATATATATATATAAGAGAGAGATATTCCCACCAGAGCCAAACAGTAGTGGTTTCAACCATATTGAAAAGACAAGATTTTAAATGCTGACTGTTAAAGTCAGCATTTAAAAGTATGGAATCCTTCTCCATTTGGAGAATTGGTGCAACAACAATCTTCCTACTCCAATTTTAACCAGATTTAACCTTGTGACTGATTAGTAAATATTAATACTCCTTCAACAAAACAATATTTATTTGAAAGCCATACTTGTGTTGGGCATCAATTTCTTGAGCATAAATTCCAATATCGACACCAGCCTCACGGAGTTGCATCAAAGTAGTGCGACCCAAAGCTTTCTCAATGCTATTTAAAAAGTTTCTCTTTTCTTCTATCCACTGGCCTTTGCAGAGTCTGAAATTTAGAAAAGAAAACAAAAGCAGATAAAAAAGCCAAGATATTTCAATAGAGATGGTTACCTACCATTACACAACACAACAGTGGGGAAGCTTGTCTCTCAGTACAATTTATACTTACTACTGTGTGTAAGATGAAGCAATGCTTAGTAAATAGGAACTTTGGTGACTACTGCTGCACAGTGGTCAATATTCTGGCCTCACAGGATAATTTGTTAACATGGTGTCGAATTGTATCTGGTGCCATAACACTTGTAGCAAACTAATCTCAGCTGAAGAAACAACTATTTAAGTGACTAACATAGAAAGACATGGTAAAGAATCAAAACACATTTAACTTTAACTTGAAAGTTAAAACAACCACATGGATATCTCTAAATTCATGGAAAATGTACAACCTTGAAAAAAAAAAAAAAAAAAAAAAAAAAGGAAGTTCAGTGGATATTCAAGAAACTTTATTAAAAAGGAAAATGCACCTTTCTACATCTTAATTTTTAATTAATATTTTTTATTCCAACTTGATAAAATTTTGAAAGTTGTTGTAATTTAATAAAAGGTTTTTCTTGATGAATATATAATTTAATTAAGACTTGTTGATTATATGGGGAAAAGAAAAAAAGTAAAGGCTAAAAATAATGAAAGGCCAACACTCAATAGCATCAACTATGAACATGGCAACAATGTGCTGACTCCAGACACAGACATTACACAATCTATTCAGTTAAAAGTAAAATTAAAATCTCCTTGATTAATGGTTAAAAGTATCATAGAAAGCACACAGACAGACAGAACATTCAGACAATTTCTATATGATTTATGTCCAGAAAAGAAAATTATAAGAAAAATAATAAATAAAAAAAATTAACCGCAGTAACTCGTTAGTCGTTTTGTTTATGAAACTTTTATATTTGACAAGTGGAAAACATTTCATTGAAACTAGATTTAATTATGTATTTCACCTTTCAAGGTTTCACCAGGCCCAAAGACAAAAGAAAGAAATGTGTGTTGTGTATACACTTCATTTTCTTTCTTTAATCATGAGAAATGCCAGCTTAGGGAAAATGTATTATGATTCATTATTCAAGCATATACACACAGATATTTTTTGTTTGTGGATCTGATGAAGCCCTGAAAGGTGAAACACGTAATTAAATCTAGTTTTAATGAAACATTTCCCATTTGTCAAATTTCTTAAAAAAAAAAACTGTCAGGATTCTATATCCTATTATATATATATATATATATATATATATATATATATATATATAGTAGCGTCCAAAACTAAGGGACAAAATTTTAAAACCTAATATTTGTTAGAAATAACAACTGTGAAAAGCTGAAATTTTGACAACTGGTAGTCGTTATCATCCATAATAACATACTAAAATTTGAATCATTTGCAAAGGATAGAAAAAGAATTATAACATTTATTTATTTTCAAATTTGGAACGTCCAAAAGTAAGGGACAAAATTGAGAAAAACAATGTAAACGGCAAAAAAACAATAAAAATACATGTACAATCAATATTTAGTAAATGAGCCCTTGCTCTCAATGACAGCTGCACATCTTCGACTACAAGAACGAATCAGTTCTTGACAATCCTCAATACTAATTTTAGACCATTCTTTTTGAAGCTTCACCCACAAATCCTCCGTGTTAGTGGGATTTCTTTTCATAACTTTCACTCCTAAGGTCTTCCAAAGATTTTCTATTGGATTTAAGTCAGGACTTTGCGGTGACCAATCCATAATTTCCAAATCTTGCTCGCTAAGGTAACTCATTACCACCTTTGCCTTGTGACATGGGGCATTATCTTGCATAAAGGTAGCCCTATCGAAACCTGAATTCTGTATGATTGGCACAACATGATCTTGAACAATGTTTTTATAGATCTGTAGCGTTTACACGAGTTTGTAACCAGACAAGAGGCGTTGTACCTTGGCTAGAAAACATTCAAATACCATGACGCTTCCGCCCCCAAACTTGACAGTTTTCTTAGTACACTTTGCACTTAATCTTTCACCAATCGTCTCTTTACATTGTTTTTTTCCATCATTTCCAAATAAATTAAACTTGCTTTCATCACTGAAAAATACTTTTGCCCAATTTTCATATGTCCAAATTACATACCTGTTTGCAAACTTTAATCTCTTCTTATTCTTCAAACTAACAAGTGGTTTCTTCCCTAGGGTTCGATTAAACAGCCCTATTTCTTGCAGTCGTCTACAAACAGTCTGTCTTGACACATTAACACATGAGGTACTATTCATAACCCTTTTAATTTCTGTGCAAGACTTAAAATGGTCCTTTAATGACATACGCTGCATTATTCGATCTTCTCTTGCAAGTTTTATGGGTCTGCCAGTTTTAAAAGCACTAACTATTTTGCCAGTATCATTGTAGGATTTAACAACCCTGCCTACAACACTCTTGGAACGTTTGACTTTCTCTGAAATCTCTCTAATGGTGTGCTTTTCCTTGTGTAGCTTCACAATAGTTTGTCTCACAGAGTAATCAAGTTTTTGGCGTTTTGCCATGGTGCCGGCTGATGCAACGTTTACAAATGACTAAGTAAAACTTATTCTTTAGAGAAAATCAAAAAATTTGAATATAGCATACTGTTTACATTGTTTTTCTCAATTTTTTCCCTTACTTTTGGACGATCCTATTTTGAAAATAAATAAATAATTGTTATAATTCTTTTTCTATCCTTTGCAAATGATTCAAATTTTAGTATGTTATTATGATGATAACGACTACCAGTTGTCAAAATTTCAGCTTTTCACAGTTGTTATTTCTAACAAATATTAGGTTTTAAAATTTTGTCCCTTAGTTTTGGATGCTACTATATATATATATATATATATATATGCACGTGTGTGTGTGCGTGTGTAAAGTCAATTATCTGAATTGACTATATTTCAAACAAAATTTCAAGGTCACATGAGTATTTAACCACAATATCTGAACACAAATCTTTTACAAGTAATGGGGCTTATACCATTATTGATGTTATTTATGTCTGAACAGAAAACAGCTGGTCCAGGTTGATTATATTCAGCCACTTTAAACAGCATGGAAATAATCTTAGCACATATATAAGCAAATAGTCAAACTCCTACAGTTCCCATTAATGAAACTACTGGCAGTTTTCAAATATTTATGGGGTGATACGAAGCACTGACAAAAATCAATGCTATTAAGTTGCTGCATTTTTATAAGATGCTATTGCTCATAAAAACAAAATAAAGAAAAACAAGAACCTCAAACTAAAATGACTGGATATTTTCAACATCTTAGCATCATAGACAAAGTCATTGAACTTTTTTGTATTCCTATGAAATATATTTTTGATAATTTGTAATTCCTTAAACTTTCAACTCAATATTTCTTTTTTAAATGCTATATAATCTGATTTTAGTTATAAAATAGAATAGCAAATTTATAAGCAACAGCCTGTATTTTGATTTATCAACTGAATCAAAGAGATCCTTTCAACCAGCCTTTAAAAAAAAAAAAAAAAAAAAAAAAAATGATTAGCATTGATTTTTTTTTAGGATTGGATCAGTTGTCTAAACTACCTGACCATCTCATTCACATAACTGACATTCCACTGTGTATATAGATCCTAAATAACCATGCCCATGTGTACAAGAAATTATGTCCCACTCAAGTTAATTGCACAAACCATAAGCAGGACTCATAGTTGGATTGTACAAGAGACTATTAAAGACACCAGAGTGAGCTGTATGGTGTAGTCATTAATATTAAGAACCATAAATGCTTATAGTAACTTGTAGTCAATTTATAAATATTACTACTAGTGAGAGTTGTTAAAATTGTATTGTATATATGGTATTTAGTACAATGTAGAAGTGGAGAGTGAATGTTTTGCTCACTGAAGGAAAAATATCACCTAATAAAAGAATCAAATAGCAATCAAGAAGAACTGAACCAAAAGAAAGAACATAAATAAAATACTCACTTGCATTGTTCTGCATCCTGTGGTAGAGATTGCTGAAAAGCAGCCTTGAGTTCATCTGCAAAAGAAAATTATAAAAATTTCTACTCAAAGAATAAATTTTCTTTTTGAAAAATGGGTTAGTCTTTCTTCCTTATGTATGAAAAGGATTATACAAAATACAATCTGTAATTTCGAGAGCACTCATTTTCAAAGTTATTTAGGCTACTCTAATCTATTAAAGAAAATAAGAAAATGTTCAGAAGTTAAAAACAACTGGAAAGAAAAGTTTAAATGCTTGGACAACTTTTTGTGAATTAAATAATTTCACAAAGGAATTACAGACACAAAAAAAAGCAAAATATTTAAATGCTCTTAAGCACTTAAGATATTGAAGTTGAGAATGTAGAAAGTGCATGAACAAAATTTATTTTAATTAAGCAAAATGACCAAGTGAGATCTGCCTTTGAAGAGGACTTCATTAAAGGGTTAACTATCAGTTAAAAAAAAATGTTTACAGACAATATCCAAAATGCTTAGTTTGATAAGGCTTGTTTAATGACAGTTGGTTGGATATTTTACAATGGTGTAAAAGTTCTGTGTTCATGTTCATAAAAAAAAAAAAAAAAAAAAAAAAAGATACTTTTTTTGTTTTTAGATTGGAAGTCATCAACACAGTATTTTTTTTACAATTGTATATATATATATATATATATATATATATATATAAAAACAGTTACATTATAATGCAAGAGAATATGTAACAAGACCAGTGGAGAAAGAAACAATGCAAGATACACCAGAAAGGCAGTAAAATTTGGTAGTGAACACACAATGGTGTGGGGGTTGCATGAAAAGTGATGGCAGAAGAAAATTTGTAAAAGATGATAGAAACATAAACACAACCAAAAGTATATTAGTTTACTATGGTTTAATCTTCTGTCAGACTCTGATGAGGGAGAAATATTTTAGCATGATGCTGCCACACATCACATGCAACAAAAACGTTTCTTGTGGAAGATAATGTTCAACTTTTGGAAACTCTGCAACACAGTCCTGATCTCAATATAATTGAATCATTGTGGTGGGAACTGAAGAAACAAGTGCTTCAACAGAGACCATGCAATCTCCAAGAACTTTGTAATTACTGTAAAGAGGAATTGGAAATAATTCCCAATGAAAAAATCTGGACCTTGTTCTATTCAATACCACATTGAATTGAGGCAATTATTTGAGCCAAAAGGCAGCTGCACTAATTACTAACTCCATATTTTGTTGTTTTGTACTATCTGTAATAATAAAAGCCACTTTAATTGCAAAAAAAATTCTTTTTAACTTAAGAAAATCTTTGCTGGTGGCCAACTATTTTTGCAGCATCACAGTTAAAGATTCTCTATCATCCATCATACAGCATTAACAAAAATGCAGTAACTGGTTTTCTGTCCCTCAAAGATCACAAAATACACTGAGAAAAGCATACTGTTAATCACTCTCAATTTAAGGCTAATAAGTAATTAATTTACCAAGGTGGCCCAAAGATTTTACATGCCAGTAATGATTGCATTTGATTGATAGGTGAATTACATTTTTACATTTTATTAGTATATATAGTATTTTATTTCTCTCTGCAACCTATTCATATTTTGATGGGTACAATAGAAACTGTACTCACCTTATGTCAGCCAGGATGTTAAAGTCATCTGGAGAAAGCTATTTGGGTTGGCTAAATATTTAACTATTAAAATATTCCTTGCCTATTTCAAAATGTTTAAGCCTAGATAAAGTTGGCAGTAAAAAAGATCATAAATTTTACAGATAATATTTAAACCACAGGAATAAGTACAAAAATACAGTACAGTTTTTATTAGGACCCAAACCTGACTAATCAGTTGAGCCAATAACGTTTTAGCAACTCTCCTATCACATAGCTTAATGGTGAAGTGAGTTTAAAAAAAAAAAAAAATCAATAGGATTTTGCTTTTTGACAGCTGGCTTGTTTTGGAACTTGTTACTTGTTAGCCAAAGGAGGTGCAGATTTACCTACATATATAAAAGGCATCCCTCTTTTTATTTACAACCCAATAATGTTACAAATTTAAAATGCTACCTTAAATGGCTAGTGTTCATAATTTTATAGTATGAAAGCTTGAAAAAAAAAAAAAAAAAATAAATAAATAAATAAATAAAAAAAAAAAAATAAAAAAATAAGATAAAGTTGAATTTTCTTTCTCCTCCACCCCCCCACAAAAAACAAGGGTCTTTCTCTTTAGCCCCTCTACCAGAAAACCCTAATGCTTAACACTGAGGATGAATTAACAAAAAACTTAACATATCAATTCCTACTTGTTATGAATAATTTAGTTTGGTAGGAATTAATGAAAGAACCCCCACCATGTTATGCTCTATATTATTAAATATTTTCTTGTTTTAAACATTTGACAGCATTAACCTCTTTGCACAAAGCTGCAAATATCTAACAACTTGAGAAAGTTAAAAATTTCTACTAAAATTAGACCCCAAACTAACATCAAGAATTGAGTTTCTAGTTGGTAAGAAAAATAAAATGCAACTTCATCTATGTGTATAACCAAATTCCTGGCTGCAATCACATGATCCATACTGATGCTGGTCACCAAATACAACACAACTGTCTAGGTTTCAAATATCATATAGGGTGGAGTAGGAGAGAGTTCTACACTTCCAGAAAGAACAAAAGCCATGACTTTTGCTGATCTGGGCAATATTTTGGATAGTAGTATTTCTTCAACATCAGGTGATCTTGCTGAAAGATGTCTAAATGTGCCAACAGAAGAAGAAACAATACTGTTGAAAAAAATTATCAATGATTTATTTTAAAGATGAAATTATAAAAATTGTACAACAGCTATAGGACAGTTTCATTCCAATCACCTCTTTTCTAGCACTGGGAGATGTTTAAGAAATTCTGAAGTGTGAATGTCTTAGCAGTGAATGACAGCTACAATAAACTCTCTCTAATGCATGAAGGACATGGGCAGGGCTGCTAGTTTTCTCTGTGAGTGTTCAACTTTGAGGCATGCGCTCTAATGATCCCTGAGTAACTATTGTTTCTGCATGTGCGTATTTCATTTTATAAACTTCAGCCCAGAACAGACATGATTAACTAGCTTCTCAAACAAAGAACCTCCTTGTTAAATAACCAAAAGGGCCATACCATAAAGTGCTTTTCAATTTGGGCCTGGATTTCTAAATTCTCCAAATTTTCATTAAAAAAAAAAAAAAAAAAAAAAAAAAAAAAAAAAAAATCAACAAATAGGTTGATAGACATGCAAACACCAAAATTACCAAAAAACCTGCAAACTTTTGGCAAACTCATTAGTCATGTCAACTTCCTTGTGGTCATGGAGTTGGGCTAGCAGCATCATTTTCCATATAGGATGCAGGTTCGATTCCTGTCCGAGGATGAATATTTTCTATGAAAATTTCTTGGACATTCAGGCCGGTAAATGTCATTAATACTGTTTATTATAAACAGAGCATTTACTTAAATATTTGTATCTATAAAAACAATGTATAAGCATAAAAATGTCTTAAAAATAATTGTTGGACTTTGTTCATTTCATAATATATTTTTTACAGCAAAAAAACCCAAATTACCTCAACATAGTCTATTTAAAGCCATTCTGTATATGGCTATCATCAGTCTCTAAAATAAACTATATCTATGTTAAGGTAATTTTTATTTTTTTGCTGTAAAAAATACATATGCTGTTAAAATAAAAACATCGAGCTCTCTGTAGATAGTTTTAATAATTAATATCACTAGGATCCACCCAGATTATATACCAACAGATCAATTTATATATGTGTGTGTTTATGGTAGATCTTTCAAATGCTGTCAAATTGCATGATTAGAAAATGGGAAAGGTTTCTTCTGTTTACTCAATTTCTCATTCAACTATCCATCATCTTTTGAACTTTCAAAAAGACTGGATACTTGTAATGGTTTTGGTCTTTTCATTTCCAGAGTCAGTTTTTACAAGAAAACTTGTGGCTTAAAACATGTAACAAAGTTATAAATATATATATGTATTTAGCCATTAAACAAGTTAGCTTTTCATGTTTAAGCTTTTTAAGCAATCCATTAAATCAGCTTGGTTAATGACCAAGAGTAAGAAATAAAAGTTGTGCATGTGTATGCTTTTAAAATCTAAATATTTTGCATTAAATAATGGCCAAAGTGGTATGGAGTGCTGATGAAAGTGTAAGTTTCTTTATTTACTACCTCAATCCTGACCCCAATTCTATTTTTATAGCTTTGAAGGTTGGGACAGATTGGTAGAAGAGTGCAAGAAAGCAATCAAGTGTTCAGGTAACAAACATATTATTGATCTGCAAGGAGTGGGTCAGTTCTCTTGGTTGAGCTTTTATTTAAAGAGATTGCTTTATTAAACATGGTAGCCACACTCCTGTGTTGTCATAGAGAAAGTAATTTTATTCATTGTTAAAATTTAAATTATAACATGTTAATTATTTTTTAAGAAATATATATATATATATATATATATATATATATATATATATATATATATATATATATATATATATATATATACACACCTGATCAAAAATTTAAGACCACTTGAAAATTTTTTAAAAGAGACTGTTTGTCATAGATACACTATAAACTTTTTCTTAAGGTTACTAATTTTATAATCTAAAAGGTTATGTAGACAAAAAGTTATAATCCGAACATTTTGAGAAATTGACATTTTTATAAAATGAGGTATTTTACACTTGATCAAAATTATAAGACAATGTTTTTAGTTCAGTTAGAGATTAGCATTCACTGTGTAAAAGTGTCACCATACGTAAAACAAGCAAACTTACCGAAGTTGAGCATGCTCGAATTCTAGATTTCCATAATCAAGGTTTGTTACAGCGAGTGATCGCAGCTTAGGTAAATCGCAGTAAAACTGATTTGCAACTTTCTAAAGGACAGTGCGAATTATGGAAACGCAAAGTCTATTGGTAGGCCCCAAAAGATTTCTCCGGCATTGAGTAGGAGAATAAGACGGGTTGTTGTGAAAGCCAGTGGAC